TATCTTCCACTTGGCCCATTGAAATGAATGGAAAAATTTTCATGTTTTTCTCAGTCTCATAACTCTGCTGTGTTCTGCCTAGAGACTCCATTTTTGCTTTAAAATGTTCACACACTTGTCATCTATCCATATTACTTTCATTTGTCTTGCTACCGTTTATACTTTTCAAACTGTACCTCCAACTGTTTTGTGATGTTTTTAACTGCTTTCACATTTTTTGAACTCTGTCCCACTCGAGTGACATCATCGCTCGAGTGGGACAGAGTTCTGTTTTTGAGCGGGAAACACAGTGTGTACGTGATTGGCCGAAGTTACTGTTGCTATGTGACATAATTGTTTGCCAAGACCCAGAGCCTTGTATAACAGCGGTCAGGGTTACCCTAACCCTACCCTTGAAATGAGCACCCAATAGGGAGACGTTTTCCCCTGCTGTTTCCCTGTGTGATTGCCCCGATTGTCCTCACCTGTGGCTCGTTAGTCTCAACTGTGTCTGATTCCCCTGTGTATTTAGTCTCTGTGTTTCTTCCCTACTTTTACTTCTACTCCTAATCTTCTACATCTACTATTCCTTCAGCTGTTTCTGCTGATTCTTCTTCATTCAGCAGTGTTTTGCAAAACATTTCTACTGTTTCTTCATCTTCTACTACTGTTTCTTCATTATAAGATGTTGAGAAAAAATCAAAGAAAATAAAGTATAAAGTTAAAATTCAACAAGTTGCCACTGTTTGACTTTACTCAAACGTCATTTGGATTGAGCCTTTATAATAGCTCAATATATTCACTACTTATATTCATTGCCAAAAAAAAAGTTCAAATAATTATTAAAAAAAAAAAATCTCAAGACTATTTGTTATTATTTATTTTTAACTTTGTGGTAAGTTATTACGTTTTTCTGAAAACCCATACGCAAAAATGTCTTATCAGAAGAATGGCTAATCATCTTTATTAAATGCTGTCTTACGCCCCACTCCCTCCGGCTGCACTATTCCATCATGACACTCAGGTCACTGCACTGCGCTTGTTTAAGGGAATGATTGACGCGGCATCACAGGTGACAGACAGTGAGAAAAGAGAGGCTCACTTCAGCTGCATGAGTGCGAGATAGAAACGGATTTTTTTTATTCGCAATTAACGGAAATTAAGTTTCGCCGAAATAACAACATCCTTGTGCAGATTTGTAGGAAATTAAAAGTCAAGATTTGTCGAGTCTGTCTCCAAGAGGAGAAGAAAATAACTTTTAAAATGCTTGTTTTTTCAAAGGAGCTCGGATCGATTGTTTCCGATGCGTTTCTGGAACTCAGAAATCTAAACGCTCATCGGCTTTTGTGACGAAGATGAGGAGAAATACAGAGATGGAGGATGAAGAACAATACAGATACGGAGAAAACACTGAAAATATGTGTCTAACAGATTAGGAACCGATTTTAGTTAGATAGTATTAATTTTGTTTCAATTATCTATTTTATTTGATTAATGCAAACAATAACTATTTTGCACGTATTGCAGTAATGACATCAACCAATAAAAATGTGTTAAACATTTTAATAATAATAATGTGTTAAACATTTTAATAATAATATAATAAATTTCGTTTATTCTGAGTGCCATTGAACGCCTCGCACGCAGACTCGTATCAACGTCAGCGCATCAAAGAGTTTCTTGTCATTGGATTTTCTAGCGCGTAAGTACTGACAATCCGTCTCTCCTTAATATTTGAGGCTTTTACGGTAAAAATACATGTTTGGTGTTTTAGAAATAGGGCATAATATTCTCTAACTATTACCCACTTTTACCATGGGGGGGGGAAAGGGAGAGTGAAATATTTTATATTACAACTGGAGAGTCCTACTCTAGCTAGTTAGCTTGTCGCTAGCTGTCAATGACTCAACAGAAAGCTCAACATTACCCGTTTAGAGCGGTGAATATTTCTCAACACATTATTTAATCAGTTTGGTGTTATAGAAATAGGGCATCATATTCTCTAACTATTACCCACTTTTACCATGGGGGGAAAGGGAGAGTGAAATATTTTATATTACAACCGGAGAGTCCTACTCTAGCTAGTTAGCTTGTCGCTAGCTGTCAATGATTCAACAGAAAGCTCAATATTACCCGTTTAGAGCGGTGAATATTTCTCAACACCTTATTTCATCAGTTTAGTATGTGTTATAACACACTGCCAGCTACAGACCAACTACCCTTGAATTCCTTAAGACAAAACTACAAACGAAGTTGATGTTTTTGGTCATGACCGTGTCTTAACAGCACGCGAGCGTTTTATGTCTTGTTCTGTCGCGGATGACCACACCTCTCTCCTTAATATTTGAGGCTTTTACGGTAAAAATACACGTTTGGTGTTTTAGAAATAGGGCATAATATTCTCTAACTATTACCCACTTTTACCATGGGGGGAAAGGGAGAGTGAAATATTTTATATTACAACCGGAGAGTCCTACTTTAGCTAGTTAGCTTGTCGCTAGCTGTCAATGACTCAACAGAAAGCTCAACATTACCCGTTTAGAGCGTTGAATATTTCTCAACACATTATTTAATCAGGTTGGTGTTTTAGAAATAGGGCATAATATTCTCTAACTATTACCCACTTTTACCATGGGGGGAAAGGGAGAGTGAAATATTTTACATTACTGTGTAAAATAGAAACAGGTCATCGCGCCACCTCGCGTGCTGTTAGGACAACGCTGTGTCACTAGCATGCGCTGCCTCTTGAGCAGTAGCAGCATATTGAACCCATATTGAATATTGCCCATTATAACCGCTGATACGTCTTACTGACCGTTCTGGTTTTTATAATGCAAATAACTCTGTTTATGTTGAACTAAAATGATTTTTTTCCTTCCCTTCCTCCCTCCTACACCACTGTGCCATCCACGGCCACCTCCTCCACTTTTACAACTGACTGGACTCCTTCCCCCCCCAATCAGAACAGTAAGTATAGACGCATGAGTCGTGACATTGCCATCACTGAATGGAAATCTCCATGTATCTCCATAGCAGACATGTTCCTGGGACGTCAAGTCACACTCATGGCTGCTGTGGGAATATGATCTAATAATTTATAGAGTCATGTCAGACCCGATTAACAAAATTGTGTCATATTAATGAATTAAAAAGCAAAGCCATTTCATTGTGTCTTGTAACATTAGTAAGCACTATTTTTTTTTTTTTTTTTTTTTTTACAAAACTACTTTTTCTCTATCTCCAACTGAGTGTTTGACAGGCATTTAGTTGACCCAATTTAATGCATATAACAAATTCAGATAAAAAAAATCCACCTCGAAACTACTCGGATTGAGCTGTGACATGTTTCTGTAACATAACCTGTGTTAACAGAGCATTTTTCAAAATACTCATGTATTTTTATGTTTTTTTTGTCTTTTCAGATCATCTTTGACACCCTACACAAATCTACGGTAATAACTTACTGCCTTAAAAACAAATTCCTGATTACGGGTAATATGATCCACTAAATGTCAGTGTTTTAAGTACATTTAAGTAGCTGTTGGCTAGGTGTTACAGTTCACCTCAAGTATTTAGTTTACATAAACATACATAAATCCACAAGTAATATGAAATAAAGACAACAATTATCCTCCTTGTCCGTGTTAGAGACTTGTCAGGTGTTACCTGATGTAACACAGGTGTTTCCAGGGGAAAGGTTTTAAGGTGTTTCTACAATTAAACAAAATATCTCTCTGTCCCCTTCTCTAACTGCAGACCGTTGTTGACAACTTTTCCAGCAAACCCTGAAATGTAAGTTCACATTACTTTGTTTTGTGTGGCCACAACCAGTAATCACATATTATTAAGAATGTAAACAATTGAAAAGTTGCCGTTAAACAATTCCCTATGTGCCCACAAATTCTACACTTTGATTTTAAATAAAAGTTGGAATGAGCTGTGAGGTTAACTTTACAAGATATTAACTTTTCACTTTTTCCCCAAATCTCTCCACACCTATTGTCTTTCATCTGACAGCAGACCATCGCCGTGAGGTAGCCAGTCTGCAGTAAGTTTACACACATGTACATACAGTCAGTCTGAATGTAATACACACTTTTATTAAGTGGTAGTGGAACTTGAGGATGTCTGAAGTCATTTACAGCTCTGGTAATTTGGCTTCAGTCAAATTCAAGAGCCTGTATCTGAATAAGGTTGATCCTATCCAGTAGGGGTGTAACGGTACACAAAAATTTCGGTTCGGTACGGCACAGTAAAGGCTGAAAGTGTGAGGTGTTGGTGATTTGAAATGAAACTAAAATCTCTCTCTTTGTCCCCTCATTTCATTCTCTGTTGGTCACAGACTCAGTGGTAAGTTCACACAATAAATTAGACGATGCGTTGAATTTCACACTCTTTTTTTTCATTACACACAGTAAAATATATCAACAGTATATATAAAATGTATTTTAACAACTACCTGATGTCTGTTTCCTTTTTGTCTTACAGGTGTGCTGATCCCCAGCCAGCTCCCCAGCTGATCTCCATCTCTACCTCTATCTCGTATTCTATCTTTATCTCTCCCCTCTATTACTTCTCTCTATCTCATCTCTTACATCTATCTATATTGAAGGCTCCCTATCTTTTCTGTCCATCTACCCCTCTATCTATTTTGAGAAACTCTATCTTGCTTTGTCTATCCATCTACCCCTCTATCTATTTTGAGAAACTCTATCTTGCTTTGTCTATCCATCTACCCCTCTATCTATTTTGAAGGCTCTCTATCTTGTCTATCCATCTACCCTCTATCTATTTTGAGAAACTCCTATCTTCTTTGTCTATCCATCTACCCCTCTATCTATTTTGAAACTCTCTATCTTTTCTATCCATCTACCCCTCTATCTATTTGAAGGCTCTCTATCTTTTCTATCCTCTACCCCTCTATCTATTTTGAGAAACTCTATCTTGCTTTGTCTATCCATCTACCCCTCTATCTATTTTGAGAACTCTATCTTGCTTTGTCTATCCATCTACCCCTCTATCTATTTTGAAGGCTCCTGCAGGAAGACATATTTGGAGTGGCTGTTCCCTTTCTGCAGACTGACAGTTCTACCACAGGAGCATTCATCTGAACAGCTACAATGCCAAGGAAGAGCAAGAGATCTCAAGCCCAAAGGCTTCGCTGGCAGAAGGTAGATGATATCAACTGTGCAACTGTTTGTTTTTCTGAGAGCAGTGGGGAGGTAAAGAGATCCACAGTGCCTGATTCCATGAGTATGACACAAGAAGGGCAAATGTCATCATGTGTACCACAAGTATCTTATGCAGACATGGTGAAGAGAGTATGTGATCCAGGTGTAGCAGGCCCTTCTCAGTCTTGGCAAGTAAACAATGTAGGTCCAAGAGATGAGCAACATGTACCACAGGTATCTCAGGCAGGCATTGTGAAGAGAGGCAGTAGCACTGATCCATATACCGCAGGCCCTTCTCATTCTCAGGTATCTCGTGCAGATATTTTAAACAGCCATGACCAGTTTGTTGCAGGCCCACCTCATGCAGCCAGTGTAAACACTGCAGCTGATGAACAAAGTGTCAGTGCATCCCAAAGCCAGGCTTCTTTTATCTACAGTTCTAGAACCAGAAATAAGCAATGTACCTGTAACTCACTCACATTTCTTGCATTTCTGTATGAGAATGAAAACCTCACTAGAGCTGACCTGGATCTTGTTTTGGACCAAGGTAACGCGATGTACACACAGGTTAGAAAAAGGGTTCCTAACCACATTCATTTGACCACGGATGAACTTCCTGACTCTGTTCCTGCACGCCGTTGCACACACATTGTGGACATGTCACAACTTTCCAGATACGGCTCATTTGGAGATCCTCATCCTGGAGCAGTAGATTACTTTCTTGACCTTGAGTCCGGATTGTCCTGCTTGTTGTCGGATGTGCAGTATGCGTTGCTGTTGATGAGTTCGTTGTGCATTGCAGTATTCAGAACCAGGTCAGGCAGATACGGTTTCTTTGATCCACATGCTAGGACAGCCAAGGGTTTGCCTCTAAACCAGCGTACACCCACTCCCGGGACAGCGGTTATGGTAACATTCACACGTCTGAGTGACATGATTGACAGGCTCATCAAGTATCACAAGATGTTGGGCACAGCAGAATCCTGTAACTACGAGTTAAAGCCTGTTGTATTTTACGATGTCAACACTGTCAACCTGAGTACGTCATCCCAGCTACAGATATTCAGCCCACAGCTCACACAGACTCAACCACTCTGTTCGATGATGCAACTCAAAACAAATCGACTGCAAGTGCTGCAACAAACGCTGATCTAACTGAAAACACTGTTCATGACGTGTTTGCGACATGGAAACTGAACCAGAACCACTGAGCCAAAGGAGCCCCGTCACAGTAAATGATGTTTGTGAGAAGTCCGTCCAGGGAATCCCAACTAAAATAACATCTGTGTCATCTGAGAGACAAACGCAGGTCCACATCATGTTCCCTAATACCCAAACTGAACAAGAAGCAGTTATTACTGAACTCAACTTTAATTCTGACACATCACAACTTTGTCCTCAGAGTGAGTCAAACTTAACTGTTCCTTTGGTAAATTCTTTTGACAACGATAATGTCTTAGATGACATCATTATCAGGCTATCAAAAATGAACAAGCAGCAAAGGAAAAAATACAAGAGGAGACTATTGCTATCGGAAAATGTGTCACAAAGAAAAGACACTCAAAAGATAAGAGAGAGAGAAAGATATGCTTCAGATAGAACGTATAGAGCAAAGAAAAAATCGTATTCATGTAAGAAACGTTCTGATGAAGAATTCACTCAAAGAAAACGAGAATATGTTGCCAACCAATACAGAAACAAACCTGAAATACAGCAGAAAAAAAGGAAAAGTATTACCATGAGATATAGAGAAAACATTGATTTCAGACAAAAGCAAAAACTATATATTAAGAGTAGATATGCTGTCGATCTACAATTTAGACTAAAGCAAAAACAAAATATTACTCAGAGATATGCTATTGATCCTAAATTTCGACTGAAGCAAAAACAAAATATTACTGGGAGATATGCTGTTGATCCTGCATTTCAACTGAAGCAAAAACAAAACATTACTGGGAGATATGCTGTTGATCCTGCATTTCGACTGAAGCAAAAACAAAACATTACTGGGAGATATGCTGTTGATCCTGCATTTCGACTGAAGCAAAAACAAAATATTACTGGCAGATATAGAGACAATATTGATTTCAAGCTGAGGCAGCGATCTTTTATCACTCAACGTTATGCCCATGATGAAGCCTTCCGTCTCAAGCACAGAGAACTAATGAGAAAAATAATGCAAAACAGGCACAAGAACAATGTTGCATTCAGGACCATGCATAACATGAGATGTGCCCTGAAAATAACAAGAAAATACAGGCAGATGACTAGACCAACCCATGAGAGTGACAGAGAGAGTGACAATGCTTTGATCAAGGAGGCCATGGCTATTTTCAAGTCTCATATAAAAGCTGGTCCAACGTTCGTGTGCACCGTGTGTCACAAAGCCTCATTTCCAAACCAAGTCAAAACATGCAAGAGGTCAAACTATGTAAAGAATCCTAATGTGGTTGCAGCCTGCCTCACAGGAAAATATGTTCATGTCTGTGACGATGACTGCAGGAGTAGTCAATGCAAAGTGCCCAATGAGAGAAAGGAGGAGTGGATTTGTCACACCTGCCATGATCATCTGAAAAATGGAGCCATGCCCAAACTTGCTGTTGCAAACAACTTGTGGTTGGATGACATACCAACTGAACTGTGTGACCTAAACATTCTGGAGAGACATCTCATAGCAAAGTGCATAGCGTTCGCAAAAATCATTCCTCTTCCTAAAGGTCAACAGAGAGCTATACATGGTAATGTAGTGTGTGTCCCGTCTGAGGTTCAAGAAACGGTCAAGGCTTTGCCCAGATTGAGGAGCGAGTCTCAGGTGTTGAGAGTGAAACTGAAGAGACGTTTGTGTTACAAAGGTCATCAGCTGTTCCAGACTGTAACCTGGTCTAAATTAGTGCAAGCTCTGAAAAAGCTAAAACAGATTCACCCACAGTACGACGATGTCACCATCAGAGATGAGGAGGAGTTATGTGACCCAACACTTGCAGATGATGACGATGATGAATCAATGGATGATGATGACTATGATGCAGATGATCTGATGGAAATTAACAGGCTCGAGAGCGATGTGATGTGTGATGGAGATGCCGAAAATGGTCCTGAAAATGAGCAACAAAACAAGACGATGCTTCGTGATGACAATCGGACACAGGAGAACGGTGATGATGACATTGATGGCGACGAGGCACAACAGGAGAGTAACAATAGTGGTGGAATAGTTCTGGAATCAT